CCCCAAACCCCAAACCCCCGCGCCGGAGAGCCGCTACACAGGCTAGATCGTCACTGATACAGTGATTTTCGTATGAGTGGTAAAAAATTCGTAGCCGTACTRTAATTAAGCGTAACGTATCCCCCTTCCCACCGTAGCCGTATRATACGCGTCGTGATTGAATGAATCACTGGGAGGCAATGAGAAGCCATTTCAATGTTACAGAATGTAAGATATTACCGTATTACGAAAACCGTTTTATCTACAGCTAGGTCGTAAAGTGAAGAAATTAGAATCTTATCTTCCTTGAACCGATTCGAGTATCATTTGATAAGTTCACCTTGGTCGAATGGTTGTCATAGTAATGAGATGGCTGCAAGGKCGCCATGATTTTTACAGCCCTAGGTCACGTGAATTCATATACTAAATCTGCTGTTTCTTTCTCACGAGCTCAACGATAATTGGTTCGTTCACCGTTGGCATGGTAATAACTCCTAGCCCTTACGTCASGATATTTTCAGTTCTCGTTCGCGTGAAGGAATTAGAATGTTTTGCCTTTCGTGTGGTGAGCATATCCTTTGGTATCTAGTTTGTATGSCCCAAGGCAGTTTGCCCTCCAAACCTATATTTTCATATCACCTTTCTCTCTCTCACTGCAAATTCAATACAGTCTGTAGCAAGATGACAGCCAAAGATTAATCACAGAAGCTTGCCCTTTCACAATAGCTTTTTCATAGCTTATATAGCAGTTGTTTTTTTGATTTTTTGACAGATTCAATGTGAAGATTTTAAAGCAATCGAGCAAGGAATTCCGAAAGAAAATTTGAGTCCTCGTTCTTGACGATAATTTGAGTCATTAAATTCGATTTATCACTTCAAACCTTTAAACGAACTGTCAATGAAGTTGATGAGCGAGCACAGTTAATCATCATTGGTTGACTGCTGCTCTAAAGATGTATATGTGTGTATATTATATTATCAAAAATTAATGAGAAAGAACCAGGTAGAAAAAAATTAACCTAGCCACACCAAGGGGAAGTCGGTAAATCGGATACAGAATCGCTCTTATTAGCATTCAACTTTAACAGAAAAAACTCACTTCCATCTCAAAACGATTACTACTTGATATTCCTAGACATTTGATAGGCAATATACAGATCGTCGTTCATATTGTATATATACTGATTACTTTATATCACGCAAATACGACGARCAGCAATGGTTTTGCTTCCATCCCACGAGACTCTGTAAATATAATATTTGGTAAACAAATTCCGGGTCTAATCTCTCAGTCAGAGGCTAGCGAACAAAGTTCTTACTTACACAGGAAGAGGCAACGCAATGGCTCCAGTTAGAACAGAGGTTTTACGGACGCTGCGGTACGAATCATATCATGGAGCTGATCGAATTTTACTTGCCATTTTGATTGAAAAACTTACATTTCATTCAAAATAATTCAATATAGTATGATGAATTAGCAATCCCGGAACTCGTACACTTCTGCATCTTTATATATTTGATTATTTGAAACCTATATATTATTCCAAGATAATGTTATAATTTTTCTATATCTCGATGAAGGATGGCTTAAGTTTTTTTTAAAATTTGAATGCAAGGGTTTCCGATAGACTTCCTTCCAGATGAGATTACAAGATGTTCATAAAAAATTCTAATTCTTAAGCGGCATTAAGTATAAAATTGAACAACGCAGTTTAACTTAAATAGACATGTCAAATGTTTCGTAATCTTCAAACTAACCTTAGCCTAAGGTGTAGAACGGTGTCTGTAATCCTCTCCTTTATCTCTTGTTTTCTTCCCTATCAATCCCAGCCCTGCCGGTAGAAAGCCAAGCTGGTTGAATACCTGGTTTTCAACGGATGAAAACCCTACTACTGGCCTTATATCAGCGCCTAGAAAGTTCATATTACGTGGTGGTACAAAACAAAATTCTCCTCTCTCGGCGGGACATTCTGGACGATACATCGTTCGGTCGTGCAGCTCCTAAGGGAGCAGTTTGAACGGTATGTATAGAATGTCGATACATTGGAAGCGAAAATGCTCCATCTCTGCAGACATCCATCYTTCTCGCAGCTTGACTCGTCATGAGGTCAGCGGTCTCGTCCTACATAGACTTGGCCTTCGACTATAAAAGCTGAGATGAAGTTGAAAMTTTTTTCAAAACTTCAGCTGTTGGAAAGAAAATACATTAAACATCTATAAGATGTGGTTATGTGGTTATATAGTCGCGTTTTTAGGGCCGGGAGTTGGGGTTTTTTGCGTTTTTGATAGTTCTCCAGACTCCCACTTGTTGTATATTGGTCTTCACATGACCCACAGCGGCAGACATCTATGACCAGTGGTTCATCATAACCCACACGGACAGTTAGTACGCGTGAAGCCAASTTGACTACCTCCCGAGTGTTTATGTAGAAGAAAATAAAAGAGATCCTGAAGCCAAAAAAGGGCAAAATGGGTGGCTTYCTAACAGCTTCGGTAGCTGCAAGAGCTGCAGTGATTGAAATGGCTAAAATGAATGGAATAATTGAACCAGTGTCTTGGTTGAATATCCGTGGATCAAACTATGTTGCGAGTCCTTCTCTCTGCGGTGCAAAACCACTTTGCCACTTTTGGTTGTGTTTCAAAAAAAAAAAAAAACACAATGTATAACTTCAAGGCAAAGCTTCCCGAGCTCTTTCAAAATTGTCTTGAATGCAAGGCTAACAGGAAAATAGGGGGRGAATGGAATGGCCAAATGTGTGATTTATTTCGTATTTTCCTCTTAGTCCCATAGAATCGTTCTAATTGAGAATGGTGTATTTTTCATCGTATGGGCAAAATAACTTCGAATATCGAATACATTTTGRATAATTATTTTGAAATAAAAGAATACAGGAAAAAAAGAAGAAAAAAAAAAGAAAAGAAAAAGTACAAAACTGACTGACGATAAGAAAACCTCTTTGGATCTTAATTACTGAATTTGATAACAAGTACACAAAAATGATTTTWAAAAATATTCAAATGTTTCGTTAAAAAATATTGGTATACGCATGTAAGATTTATTGATCTAAATTCACCTCAACACAAACAATGGGTAGTTTTCCTGATGGAATTTGTCCCACCAACAAACTCGAATTCATAAGATGTAGTTATCGATTTTTTTCTTTACCTTGAGAATGCATTGTTTCTAAGACATACGCATTTTAGCACGTCCGACGTAGCAACCGTAACTAGGAAGGTAGAACAATGAATGCGGGATTACTGTATTCTCAGGCTTTAAAATCTTACCTTGTAAAGGAGATACCACAGCCAATCATATAAAAGGCATCGAGCATGCAACCATACTGATGATTTAAGGACATGGTAAACCTCCATTCATGAATTCCCATGTGAAAATAATCTGGAAAAAAAAGAAGAATCATTTCAGCGGATAGCCCTARCTATTTTAGTGGATGTCAGGAAAGGCCGAATAATTACTTTTGCTTTAATCTTCGTTTTATATTTTCACTTTTAATGGACCAATTCCGCTAACGCAATGTTTTATTCCATTCAAATCTTCTGGGAATACATTTCTTTCTCCCACTAGGGGATTGAGCGTTGCGTGACGACACTAGAGGAGTGAGCGTTGCGTGACGACACTAGGGGAGTGAGCGTTGCGTGACGACACTAATAGCGGCTGCATGCGAGGTAGACTAGGTAAAACATTTCGTTAGTCGAATTGGTCTATTGGATGTTTCTGTTGTTGTTATCATCTTGATCATTTTTACCGAATATCATGTTATTATTAGTCGTTCCGAGGTCGAGGAAAAGACTGGGTCGAGATGGCATAACAGTGCATTGTGGACTGTTTTAGGGGACACATTGRTGATTTTTACGGCGGCCATGTTGGAGGAACTTAACAAAAGAATTGTCGATGAATTTCTTTTGTTATATCCTCCAACATGGCCGCCGTGTCTTTTGTTATTTAATTCTCTTGGGAATGGTTGAAAACCATCAATTTCCAAGATGACATCTATTTCATGACCTAAAACAATGCCAAAGCGACCTCGGAATCGAATGGCAAATATTTTTCTGGAGCAGATCCTATAAAGATTGATTTCAGTAAGCAGAGTTTTCTTAACTTTTTGTCATAGCTTTTACTTAAACATTTGGCTTTTTTACTTTAAAACAGGTGTGGAACGAGTCAATTTATTTCAATAGTGTGTGTTGGGGGGGAGGGGGCTGTATAATGTTTCTGTAACATCTTTTACTTCTTGAGAGGTATTCCTCACATAGAATAATTTTTCTAGGTTCCATAATAAGTTAAAATCGTATGACTAGTGCATCAAAAGTTATTCTTTTGTCCATTTTCATTATGTCATTGGTCACGAAAACGGAACATTATTCGCCGGTTGCACATGACGACATAACAGCTATGTTGGAAGAATTTAGGCGAAAGATTTTCAATAAATCTTTATCCTTATAAATCAATAACTCTCATTTCACTTCTGAATAAGTACGAACCAAATCATTTGAGTTTTAATAACATAGGTTTTTTTTCACTTAAAAACATAGTTCGAAAAGGTTATAGAGTGTGTGCAACCATGTGACTCAAAATCSCTCAAGATATAAAAACAGCCGCCATCTTGGTTGATGTAATGCAAGGAATKCTTTGTTATCGTCAACCAAGATGGCGGCAATGACGTAACACACACCTGCTCTATTGATTTATATAATGATTTGTTTATCAGCAGTATTAAGTTTAAACAACATTCATTGATTCGAAAACTTATTGTGACATCATAAAAAAATATCATGGTGTGCAGTTAATRTGTTATCCCATCTCGAGCAGAAATTAAAAAGTTAGTCATCTTCAAAAGCTTCTTCAGTCTACTGTGAGAATAATATACACTGAAAATATAGAATTACTAGCTTTGATCGCTTTTCTATAAACGTAGAGAAAAACTTCAGTAAGGTAAGCCGGATAT